TATATATATATATATATATATATATATATATATATATATATATATAGGTTAAGGGTGTGCACACTTCTGCAACCAGTCTATCACATGTTTCATCTATACTTTCATGCAGCAGATTATGTTTCCTGTTGAATTGCAGACGATAAATGACACAGTAAAAGTGGGGAAAGTTCAGAAATGATTTATCATGGTTGAATTTTTACGACATTTTAACGGGTGTGTAGACTTTATACTTCCTCTGTAAAACGAGGACAGTGTGTGTGTGTGTGTGTGTGCAGTGGTGCATGTGTATGTGTACAAACGTCAGTTTAGAAATGTCAGTCTGTTATCTCGTCCTTCACATCTCCTGCTGTAACTACAACCCACCCTCAGTCCCTCACCTATAGTATTAGGTTGTGTTAGGATATGCATAAAGCAGCATTTGTTGCCTAACTTTAAGGCTCTTGCATTTAAATTTGCACATGTAGTTTGAAGATAAGCAGCCGGTTGATGCGCTTGCTGCATGTTAGAGACGCCTGAGGCCCAGGAATGTGTTTGTAACTTCTCACGATGAGCTTGTCCCTCTTTTTGCCTCCGCAGCAGCCAAAAGTTTGCTCAACAAGAAGCCAGACGGTGTTAAGGTGAGTTGATTTGCTCAGACAGGACGTTTTCTTTTTTTTTTTTTTTGCACACATTCCTGGAGAGTTTGGTGATGGTGCAACTTTATGGTTATAGTTTGTGCACTTAATGAACTCATTCAGGGATAGTTACTCTAATAATAAATAATAATAATGAGTTTAATTTCTAACGCACTTTTCATTAACAAAAATCTCAAAGTGCTACAGAGTGCAACTAAAATCAGCGATAAAATCAACTAAAATCTATGATAAAATCAACTAAAATCAATGATACAATCATCTAAACCAGTTGTTCCCAACCATGATCCTTGAGGAATGCCATCCTGCATGTTTTAGTTGTTACCCTGCTCCAACACCTGATTCAGTGATTTTTGTTACTTCCTCAAGTTCTGAATCAAATCAGGTGTGCCAAAGCAGGGAAACAACTAAACATGCAGGGGTGGTGTTCCTCAAGGACCAGAGCTAGGAACCATGCTCTAAACTGTGAAAACTGGTTGTTATTTTGTGTTGAACTAGGTAAATACAGCCTACTTCTATGAACAATGGATCAAGTTTTCAGCCGTATTTATAATAGTTGGAGTTTCAGCCCATGTTTCTTTAAAACATCACTTCAGTCCACTGAGGTTAATGGGCATTCCTTTATAATATCTCGTTAAGTCGTGTCAGTCAGATTGAGGTTGAACTTTGTCAAAGCGGCACCTTGATACCTTTCTCTTTTCATTTTTATTAGACAACCTCTTGTAGCTTTGCTGCTTCAATTGGGATCATCGTCCAAGTTTCAGCTGTCAGACAGAAGGAGTCACTTTTATTGAATCTAAAAAAAACCTTTATTTGTTTAACGGAGGAATGTTTTGGTCGACTCTGTCACTGCAGGCTTTGCAGATCCTGTAGCTGCAAAACAAGCCCAGACCATCAGTCCTCCACCTCTGTGCTTGACAGTTGGAATGGGGGATTTTTGGCTGATATGCTGAATTTGTTTGTTTGTGCATGTTTTCAGCAAATAGTATATGTATAGTACGATGTGTAATACAAAGCGTTACAACATGTATTAGTCATTGATATAAAAAGTATGTTGGGTTTTATTTGAGATGAATATTTTTCTTTGAAACAAACCGAACATTTGACTTTATAACTGAGGCGAAGCTCCCCCTCGCACTGGTGGCTCTGCTTTTGGGTCTTTAACAATATTTCTGAGTGTTTTACAGTTTGTCCTTAGAGTTCACTCGTGGGAAGATTAACAGTTTTGTTTGTTTTCTACTTGTGAACATTCTTTCTCTCTGTGGAATGATGTATTCCAAATTCTTTGGAAATGGTCTTTTATGTCTCCGTCCAGAAAAGTTGGCCACAAAGCAGTCGTTTCACACGGCTGGTGATATTTTTATATGACAATAACAGCTTTAATGATTCAGTGCAGCAAACTGATAAAACTTGTGCATTTATGGACATGTTCATCTCTGCTGATGACCAGATAATTTGTTGCAACTATTTTCATTCCTGTGGTAGAAACAAGGATAGAACCAGTTCTCACATTATGGTTTTTGTTTTTTTGTTGGTTGTCTGAGGTTATATTTACATGATTTTAGGTCTGGTAAGAACCAGAGTATTTTTTGTTATGATGTCCTTAATTGTAATTCTTAAGAAAAAGGGTGCATTTTGTCATTAACATAAATGTAAATTAGTGAGAAAATACAACTTTGTAGAAGTTTTCTTCGAAATAGACGCTAAAGAAGAACCTTTTAATGTTATCTGTGCTTATTGTACACATAGTAAAAATCTTGGCTACAAATCAGTTTTTTTATTTGGATACATCAGATTGCAAAGTAGCGTCAAACCTATTATATTATCATTATTGTCCTGTATTGGTTATCCTCTGACCTACTTAAAGGCTTAGTGAACAAAACTCAACAGTGTTTTATTTTTTACAGCGTCAAATTGAATCTGCAATTTAAAACATTTCCTTTCTTTAAACCACTAATCTTCCCCTTCTTCTTTTCACACATGTATGACTTTGTAAACTAATACATTATCCAGTATTCCCCTGTTTTGTTGATTGTATCTGTGGTTCATTAAAGATGATCTAATTTTACTAAATGAAGGTTGACATTGTGACATTGTTCTCGGTTAGAGCAAGTCAAAGTTTAAATTAGGCAGATTGGAGAGGGAGGAGAAATGTCTCATCATGTTCAGGTTTGTACAAATTGGAGATGCAACATATTTATGGATTATAAGTTCATGCATTTTAGAGGAAAATTGTTTTGTCTTATTTTTGTCATTGTGATTACATGAGTACAACAGTATAACTACATGATAAACATGGAATTGGCAGTTTTCATCTAAATAAATATAACTCGTGGCTAAAATATAGTCTGTTAAAAATGTTGTTCTGGCCCAAAATATTTTTTTGTATTGCTAAATCAAATTGCAACCTCTAAACATCCACTGCAATGGTGCTAATTGAAATATCTGGGTCTAATGGGGCAGCGCTGCAAAATTTCTAAAAATACTTCAATTACATTTTTGTGCATATTTGACCGATGGGGTGGTCAGTAATTAACTTATTCTATTTATCAGAGCTCTAGTCAAATGAAAATTCAATACTTTTTGGTTTTAAGAAAACTTCCACCCAAATATTGAATATTTCATTTTTGTCTTGCGTCCAGTGCAGCTCAGTTTTATTGAGTTTTACAGTTTTTACTGTCGTCTTCTGATGCTGAGCTTTTTTCCTTAAATGTTATGAAGTTGCAAATATGATTTGGTAAAAAAAAATTCAAGTGTTAGCTTCTGTGTGCATGTCACATTTAGTAAAATCAGATCTTTAATCACGGGAATGAATGGGAGGTTGTGTGTGTGGGCTTGAAAAGTGTCATATCCCCCTCTACACTGCACCCTGCAGGTCAACAACAAAGCCAACACAGTGACCAGTCCTAAAGACACTGGCCCTGCCTCTGCACTGGTATACACACTCGGTCTCATCCACACCCACACCTTCCTTCACAAAAGACCCAAACCTCACAGCCCACGTAGGGGGGAGGTATAGGTTCACCGCCTCTACAGGCTCAGATCAGTCGCTGTTTGATCTCCACGATGCTCGACCAGACTTGAATTCTTTATAAGGCTTGTACGAACACTGATCAAATCAAGGGGCAGCAACATGCTGTCTTAACCTGGCTCAGGCTTTCCCTGAATGAAAATGTAAAAGCCTTTATGGGTTCACAGCATGTCCCAGCTCCAGAATGTTTTATAGTTAGCCATGAAAGACACTCAGAATTCATATTGATGCATTCCTTCATTATTGTTATTGGGAATGTCAGAGCATGCGTGTGATTTAAAGAGCTTGCTCAGTCTGGATTTGTGTAATGTTAATGGCCTTCAATTGGCGTGGCCCTAAATTTGTTGTAAAGTTAACCTTTACCTCACCCCTCCTGCTTGCCCCTTATCAGATTCTCCATTTTTCCATTTTCATGTCATGCAGCAACGCCTTTCATGTGATTACGTGTAGATTTCTCTGAACTGCTTTGCTTAAAAAAGTAGAATTTCTGACTAGAGTCCACATCTGCATCATTTGAGATTTGTTCCTGACATACAGTTTCTCGCCTCTGCATGGCTGCAAGAAGAACTAGGGTGGATTGTCTCTTTTTTGTCTTTTTATTTGCATAACATCTGCTCATAGGCTGCCTGCGTCAGGTCACATGATCAGTGCCATGAATGATGTTGAAGATTTTCTCTTCCCTCATTTGCTGACAGCTTGGTTACGCATGAACATGAGACACATGACATCTGTCTATTTCTGTGTCCTCCTCATCGTGTACACATACACACACATGCACGCACACACACACGCACACACATGCATGCACACAGTTAAGACTGCTGATGTTGTAATCTAGTGTAATCTGGGTATGATTAGAGAGGCTGAAGAGTCATCAAGATCGATTCTACAAAAGTCCATATGTCTGATCCTTGAGGAAGAAAGCTGTAAGACACAAATCAGTCAAAGACAGACAGACAGGCAGACAGACAGGCAGACAGATAAATAGATAGATATATAGATACACAGATAGACAGACATAAATAGACAGACAGACGGATGGACGGAGGGACAGATAGATAACTAGACAGACAGACAGACAGATAGATAAATAGATAGACACAGACAAAAAGATAGATAACTAGACAGACAGTGATAGAGAGACAGACAGAAAGATAGATAAATAGACAGACAGATAGATAAATAGACAGACAGATAGACAGACAGACAGACAGACAGACAGACAGACAGACAGACGGATAGATAACTAGACAGACAGACAGAAAGATAAATAGATAGATAGATAGACTCAGACAGACAAAAAGATAGATAGAGAGACAGATAGATAACTAGACAGACAGACAGACAGACAGACAGACAGACAGATAGATAGATAGATAGATAGATAGATAGATAGATAGATAGATAGACAGACAAAAAGATAGACAACTAGACAGATAGAGATAGGGAGACAGACAGAAAGATAGATAACTAGACAGACAGACAGACAGACAGACAGACAGACAGATAGATAGATAGATAGATAGATAGATAGATAGATAGATAGATAGATAGATAGATAAAAAGACAGACAGATAGATAGATAGACAGATAGATAGATAGATAGATAGATAGATAGATAGATAGATAGATAGATAGATAGATAGATAGATAAAAAGATAGATAGATAGACAGACAGATAGACAGACGGACAGATAGATAAACAGACAGACAGACAGATAAGTAGACAGACAGACAGACAGACAGACAGACAGACAGACAGAAACATATTTCCAATAACACTGCCTGCACCATCTTTCTTCTTTCAAAGTCCTTCTGTCACTCAGTCTCATGTTCTTGTTTTCTGTTCTCTTCAGGAACCACAGACCACAGTGATCCACAACCCTGTAGATGGAAACAAGGTCTAAGAACAAAACTTGTATCTTCTCGAGTATTTTTCTCTTTATTTCAAAGCAGTTTTCTCCTTTGCTTTCTCCTCGTCTGTGTTACAACTAATAATGTTTTTCTTCAGGAGTCCATTGAAAGTGCCAACACCACCATTGAGGATGAAGATGTAAAAGGTAGGAGGAACTCCCACCACACATCCCTGGTTACAACAAACTGTCGACGCACTACATTTGGAGATATTTTCTTTTGTAAGCTTTTTTTCCTGAGTATGTTTCTATGTGGTTTGTTGAAAGTTTTAAAAAATCCTTCACCTGTTCAGTCATTTTTCAAAATGTACCGTTTTTACTTGTCTTTTCTTATTTTGTGTGTGTTCTTTTTTAAATCTCCTTTGTTTTTTAGCTGTTCTTATCTCTTTTTACCATGCTTGCCTTCAGTCTTTTTCATTTGTTTTGGTCTGAATACTTTTCATACTTCTCGTTTGTCTACACTTTTGTATTTTTAATAGACTGTGACTGAAAGGTCCACCTCCATTTTTATTTTCCTTGTTGCTGTGAATGTTGTGTTTTCTCTGTTACCTTTCCTAAAATGAAACCCACTGTGTGCCTAAAATTAGAGATTGTAAATATTTGCTCCAGCCTTGTGCACAGATTGGCAAACTGACATCATTTGGTTTGGAAACTGCCAGTAGGTCATTGGTTTTCAGTAAAGTTAAAACGTTGGACAAATTCTTACAGTCGAGATCAATAAACATCGAAACAAACCATCAAATCATTGCAAAATCATAAATTTCCTTTCCCCTCAACGGCAGAAAAGTAGATCCTACACTTCATCCTAATTATAACTGAAACAAGTCGTACTTTGAGCTGCACAATGATTTAAAATTAAACAAACATCCATGATTGTAATCCAGCTGCTGGAGTGGTATAAAATCAGATTTGGGCGACACCACAGTCAACATTACTGATGTTGAATTATATATCTAAACATTAGAATCTGTGTAGAGGGTCCCTGAACTCAACACCGGTCGCACATAGACACCAATGTTTTTTTGCAAATGCAGGTGCACGGTTTAATAACCTGAGGGATTCTTACAACTTCTGGTGTTATTTTGACCCCAGGTAGGCGCCCATCTTTATGTCCCATTATGTGACATTATGAATGAGTGCAGGGGAGCAGGTGGAACTTATTGTAAACCAGTCCATAATATAAACAGTCTATGATTCACTGTAAATTCCTCTGCAAAAGGGGAGATGACCTTTAACCTTTTGCAGGACTGTGACATCTAACATCTTCATGAAGTTCAGATTATATACTAATACTTCAATAATGGTTCCCTGAGTTTGATATAATCACACCTTTTTCTCCATCGTTTCCCTCTTCTTGTAGTTAAAATCCGATTTGTGACCCCAAATTTGTGACTCCTTCTATCTTGTTTGTTCATTCTTACTTTATTGAAATACATAATGGTACTTTGCAAATGCAAATCTCCTCTCTTTCCTCAACTTGTCGTTTTTCTAATTACTGCTTTACGCTGTGAAGAGCAAATAAGAATCCACTCAGTGCTAAAGAAATGAAGATGAAGGACTGAACTACCAACAGTTCTTATTATTTAATTAACTTGTCTTTTTTGTTGCATGATTTAAGTAACTTTTTCAATATTCCCCAGCCTGCACCAATAACAATAAAGGTAACTGTCAACATTACTTAGTTAAAACTGCTTTTATAGTAAATAGTTTGCATCTGAGCATTAGTTTGTTTGTCTATTTTGAGCTTTGTTGGGTGAAAGAAATCCTGTCATTCTGCATTTTCCTGCCTGAAATCAGTATTAGTCATGGAAGGTTTTCTTAAGTTGTTTATTTAAATGTGAAATATAGAAGAAGAAAAAACTTTCCGAGTTCCTTCCATGTCTAATACCTTTAAAATCCTGCAAAAGTGTGGAGTAGAATTCATTTCAACCTGATCTGATTTCAAATGGTATTGCTCCGCACCATGAGCTTTTTTGTCAATGATGGCCTGTCGTTTTGTGTCGTAGCTCGCAAACAAGAAATTATTAAGGTCACCGAGCAGCTGATCGAGTCCATAAACAATGGAGATTTTGAAGCTTATGCGTAAGTTTTTATCTGTCCACATGCAGGAATATGTACCTGTACAATGATGCTTCCTTGTGTTTCTTATACTGGGTTTGTTTTGGGCCCAACAGGAAAATTTGTGATCCTGGTTTGACTTCCTTTGAGCCTGAGGCCCTGGGAAATCTGGTGGAAGGACATGATTTTCACCGCTTTTACTTTGAGAATGGTGAGTTCAAGAACATTTGTCATGAAAAGGAGTAATGAGAAGGTATTTTAAATGGGATTTGTAGCAAATCAAAGAAGAAATCCCATAATTTTTTTTTTTTTCATTTTTTTCATTTAGCCTTTATTTATACAGGTTAGTCTCATTGAGCCACGAGAACTCATTTTCAAGAGAGACCTGTTTAGGGAGCACATGGTGGGGGTTAAGGGCCTTGCTCATGGGCCCAGAGTGGGGCGAATGAGGGTGGGGGCAAGTGTGGGTGTTTCACCTACCCCACCCACAATTTTGATGTTGTCGGGGCCGGGGCGTGAACCGGCGATCTTCGGATCACAAGCCCACCTCTCTAACCTCTGCGCCACCACTCCCCCATTAACACTAGACTCTGTTCAATCCTTACAGAGTCCGCATTCAAATTAAATACTGGAGAAGAATAATTTGGAAGTCATCCTTGTGTATTGTTACCATCAGTTTATAAGTCAGCATTTCTCTGACTGCCCTGGAAATTTTAAACAAAAACCAAATTGGTCAATAAACAAGCAGATAAGATAAATACAGAAAAGAAAAGAAAACATGTTTTATCAGAATCAGAATAAGCATTATTATCATTGTACTGGAATACAGTGAGATTATGTTCGTACAATCATCCGAAAGATGGGCAAAGTACACGTTGCTGCTGCTACAAGAGTGCCGCCTCTTATTCTTTATCAGAATACTTTTTTAGATAGAAAAAGGTAAAGGCCATGAGGATGGATAGTGGTATTACAAAAAAGATCTCTTCGCATCTTGTCCTATCAGGACAAAATTTATGACATAAAAAAATTCTACCAACAAGCACATTTATAAACACAATTACGTATGCATGTAACGTCAAGATGTTGAGATTTGTCTACGAAGCACTTTCAGATAGGCTATAGGCCTGATAAGATGTTGCTGTTCAGCCGGCAGTTCTAATAAGCCTGAAGTTCTCGGAGGAGGGGGGGGGGGGATGGATGGACAAAACTTTTTCCTTCGTTTACCCATGTCCCAGTAGAAATTTTATAGTCGGCCCACATCTGAGACCAAATGGGGGAGTCAGATTGGGCAAATCATAAACAGTAGGGCCTCGAGAACTCATTCCTGGGGAACGCCACAAGTAACCATTTGATTTGAATAAACAGAGTGTGATCAGAGATATGACACAAACCAAGTGAGATTTTTTTGTGGGGGGATGCTAGTAGAAGTGCAACAGTTGACATCAAATATGTAAAGATTTGAGCATTTCTCCTTGATTCACATTAATTGGCACTTGTAAAACAGCAGGAAAAGATGGAAGGTGCTGTTTGATTGCAAACCAGTCAGTGTCTCCCC